GGAAAAGAAATAACATTCTGGATATTAAGGGTTGGATTTTAGAAAGGTATGATCTTCAGTTTAAAAATTGTCTTTTTAACAGAACAGAATGGAATGGAATAACAGAGTTGGATGGGACCTTGGAGGTCTTCTAGTCCAACCCCCTGCTCAAGCAGGAGACCCTATACCTTTTCAGACAAATGGCTGTCCAATCTCTTCTTAAAATCTCCAGTGACAGAGCACCCACAACTTCTGAAGGTAAGCCATTCCACTGATTAATTGTTATAACATCAGGAATTAACTACTAATTAAGAATGACTCAATATGCTTGCTTTTCCCCTTATGGAATAAGTTTTACAATATTTGTGATGTTAGAAAATCATTATTTCCCACCTCCCCTGTAGATTTAGAAATCTGTTTGACATTTGATTAATATGTGACACATAAAGACAAATTATCTCCTCCCTCTCTCTCTTGTATTTTAAAAAGACTTCCTTTGCTTCATTACTGCTTTAAAAGTCTCATCCTACTTCCATTTCTAGGTTTCCAGACTTTTTCAAACAAATTTAAACTGGGCCAATAATCTCCTCTCCATGCATCCTTAGAATGCTCACTGAGCTATGTTACCTACTTTATCTAAATGCCCATAACATTTGTTAGCTGTGACCTGAATTAAAACACGATATTGAATCAATACCATCCTTCTTCCTTGTTATTAGGCCTCCAGGAAGATCTTTAGATCTATGCGTATCTTAAGAATGGCAGCAAGCAAAGTTGGCTACAAGGAAAAAATAAATAAAAGGAAACGTGTTGGAAGAAATGTCCATCTGGGTTCAGTTCCAAGTGGGAAGAAAGACACTAGAAACATGGAGATTGTTTGGGAAGATGGTTTAATGGTGGACAAGACAACATGCTTTGAGGTCCTGGGCAAAAAAGAGCACATGGGTGAGAGAGGGAAAGAGATTTATACCCCCTCTTGGGCACCGCCTTGGAGCTTCCTGTTCCTGTATAAGGAATGCACACTGATTGGTTGTCAGACTTCCAGGCCTGGTTGAATCTTGCTGAGTGATGATGTAATGAAGGGGCTTTGGGCAATTCCTATAATGGCTTAATGGCTTTGTCCTGGTTTGGATCTTGAGTGAGGGCTAAGCCTATCATGTCCTGAGGGCCATGCCTTTTGTGTTGTAGATAAGCTGGCCCAGCCTTTGTCTTGTAGATAGGTTGGTATCAAAATATCTGCTGGGGGGGGGGGGGCAAGGAGCTGAGGCTCTGAGTTTGTCTTTAGAAACATGTTTCTCCTTTAGGGAAAATACAATATTCTGCTTTTTAAATATTTCCTAGAATATTTCATTTTCCTAGGAGTTGGGTGGGTGCTAACTCCCTACACGTGAAAAGGGAAGAGCCTTCTACCAAAGAGAATTATATTTCTCAAAACTGTGTATTAAACCATATTTGCCTAAAAATAATAGCCCAGTTGGAAACAACAATTGAAAGAGATTCGAAACAGAGAACAAAGGGAGGAAACCAGGTGTAAAGTATGTTAGTAAAAATCACTGGGATTTTTCTATTGTGGAGAAAAAAGTTGATAACATCCAAATATGCTTGCTTTCTCAGTTTAAGAAAAGACGGGGGAAAGAACTGCCTTCATCCAAGTAAAAGATGTTTGCATCAATTTCAGAAAAGTACAATCATTTTGCAAATGGTCCTATCTAAACCTCTTACACTATGAGGTAAGATTTTCACAGTATGACTATATGTTCTTATCATATCCAGGAGTAAATAATGAATACCTAAGTTAAGACCCTTAATTTGCTCTTTATACATTTCCAATGATGCTAAGATTGCTTGAATTTTCTTCAAGCCTATTTTTTTTCTACTTTAGTTCACAGGAAATCTGTTTCACTAGATATTCCAAACTCAGTAGCCAACCTATAAAGCTATTCATCTCCTACCTGTTCTGTGAATTGCTGTAGTTATCACCTGGAAAGAAGTAAAGCCAACAGACTGCCCCTATTATCATACCAAAGAAAATGGACTAGGGCAATGAAGAGGGGGGAAAATAATAATCAAGCAATATAATAAATTTGTTGATCAGATAAGCAGGTGGTTAAGTTCTTAAATCTCATTTTATCAATTTCTGAGAAAATTTCTGCGCTCTGCAAATTCTAAATATGCTGCACATTATAAACAAAATTATAATGGAAGCTGTACAATTTTATCTGTGCAGAGGGACGTCATGTATATCACAAAGTATGACTCAAAGATGTACCTATAGAGGACACCTACATTTCAATATGAAATGTAAATTGTGTGCAATATATAAAAATAGAAGTACATCATATATAAAATGTATATAACGAAACAGCCATTCTCAGTTCTATTTGCATAAACTGAATGTGCCCAGATAAGTGACAAAATATGTTGCTGATTTTGGCTAATGTCAAAAGCTAATCAGGGAAGGATCTGGTTATGCTTGGATGAAAGATCAACAGCTACTCCAAAATCCGAAGTGAAAAGCTGAGGGATGTATGGAAGGAGAGGCACCTTTGGTGGGGGGACCATAGCAAAATGTTTTTGCTTTGTAAAAAAAAATATCTATGAAATTAATCAAGGAGAGAAGCAACCTGGAATTAAGGAGAAACTTCCTAACAGTGAGGATAATTAACCAGTTGAACAGCTTACCTTCCGATGTTGTGGGTGCTTCATCACTGGAGGTTTTTAAGAGAGACTAGACAGTCACCTGTCAGAAATGGTATAGGGCCGTGATGGTGAACCTATGGCACGTATGCCACAGGTGGCACATGGAGCCATATTACTGGGCACATCCGCTCAGCTCTGGGGTGCATGTGCGTGCCGGCCAGCTGATTTTTGGGCCTTCTGGGCCCACCAGAAGTAGGGAAACAGGCTGTTTCCTGCCTCTGGAGGGCCTGGGGGTGGGTGGGGAAGGCCCATTTTTCTTTCTTACCTGGCTCCAGATCCTCTCTCTTTATCTGGGAAGGGCGAAAACAGCTTTCCCACTCCCTCGGAGGCCTGCAAGGTCCCATTTCCCAACTCCTGGTGGGTCAGGAAGTGACTTTTTTTGCTGTCCCCAACCTCCAGAGACTCCTAGAGAGGCTCCTAGTGACTCCTAGAGAGGCTCTGAAGGCTGGGGACAGCAAAAAATTTCACTTCCTGTCCCACCGGGAGTTGGGAAATGTTTCAGACCTTTGAAAGGCCTCCGAGGGAGTGAGAAAGGCTGTTTTTGCCCTTCCCAGATAAATAGAGAGGATCTGGAATCAGGTAAGAAAGAAAAACGGGCCTACCAGACCATCATGTGCCAGGAGCCGGGGGGAGGGGGTTGCACACGCATGTGTGTGGGCACGTGCGTGCACGGCCCTCCCCCGCCCCCCCTCTCCTGGCACAGGATGGCAAAAAGGTTAGCCATCACTGATATAGGGTCTCCTACTTGATTGGACTAGAAGACCTCCAAGGTCCCTTCCAGCTCTATTCTGATTGATTTATATAAGTCACCAGAGTTGAGCTCAACTGAGAGGTGACTTGGTCTTTTGCCCAGCTAGATGATAATATTAGGTAACCTTGGTTCAATCTCCAAAAGTTAAGCAGGATTGAATCTGGATGAAATCTGGATGGCAGCCCACTAGGTTTTCCTCTGGAAAAGCCTTCTTTTTTTCTTTTTTTCTTTTTTTAATTTGATTTATATGCCGCCCTTCTCCGGAGACTCAGGGCAACTTACAATGCGTTAAGCAATAGCCTTCATGCTTTTGTATATTTATACAAAGTCAGCTTATTGCCCACACAAACTGGGTCCCTCAATTTACCTACCTTAGAAAGGATGGAAGGCTGAGTCAACCTTGAGCCTGGCAGGATTTGATCTTACTTTAATTGCAGACAGCTGGTGTTAAATTACAGAGCTCTGTCTGTTGAGCTCTCCAGGCTCCTACATTAACGATTAACTACATTAACTACATTAACATTAACAATTCCTTGCATTGTTAATTATCTTGTTTATTCAGAAGTTCCCTGAAATGAGAAAACTTGTACATTATATTGTAAATTTTCATTTGGCTTAATATAGTGTCTAAATATATATCTTCTTTCCCCAATATCGTTTGGGATGGAAATACAATAATAACAACAACAAAAATAACAAGATAGTGCTATAGGGAAGAGACATATTCACTTCTGGGTAATTGATTTGTGCTTATTTCTTTTAATGAATTCAGCCCCTAAGTTATCAATCTTTGTCAGAAACCATAACATACTGCAGTGTATATTCTTTCCCAGCCTCCTACTCTAAAAATATTTAATGAAACAAGCTCTTTTAAATAAGCTGTATGGGAAACACTTTTACTACCCAAGGTTTTTTTTTTGTTTGTTTTTGTTTTGTTTTGTTTTTAATAGTGCAAAACGTTGTAGAAATCATCCCAGAATTAAAGCAGCCAGGGAAGTGGTATTAAAATAATATGCTGATTGAATCAACAGATTCATGCACTAAGAAAATAGGATTGCTCCGTGGCTATCTATTGAAATGCATTTATTTGTCTGATTAGTATTTAAATTTGCTGCACACAGTGCTTTAGCAATTTTGTCTAATGTGCAGAATAATAGCTGCATGGGGGTACTATATCGTATATTAAAATTACAGCACCCCTTAGGTAGGAAGAGGGATATGATGATCCTAGGGCTTTTGGAATGTTACTTCAAATTGGAAGCTTATGGAAAATTAATGAGGGATTTAAAGGTGTATACTGGGGAATAAGCAAATAGCCGTTGTAAATATGAAGCCTCTGGTGGTAAGGAGCCAAGTTAATCTTTACCCGCTAGGCCCTTTTGACTATAATTAAATAATCTTTGTGGAATTATATCGAATGGTATTACAATGCAAAAATAGCCTGAACTAGTGCACTTGAATATTGCAGACATTTTCATGCCCGTACTTAAAACTGTAGTCCTATACACACTCTCCTGGAATTAAGTTGCATTGCCACGAGTAGACACATTCAAGATTGCATAATAAGTACCTTAGCCGCCTTCTTCCTCTTCCTCTCCATCATCATCATCTAACCAGGCAGTTTTGCACAATCCTTGGGCAAAAAAGGAAGCACTGGAAACAGATTTAATTTTGCTACTTTATTATTTCATTTATTTTTAATAACTTAACCTTGATTTTAAAACCTGATAATCTAATTATATTTTGCTACCTTTTCCTTATCTGAGGAGCTGATAAGGAAAACAAATTGCAGTAGCAGATAGCCACAATTATTTCTTTATTAATTTAACTCCACAAGTGATTTTGTTCTGTGTTTATTCAACATTCATGTTGTAAAGATACAATATATATTGAAAAATGTGGGGAATTACTTAGCAATATATGGAGTAAATATTGGAACTACTTGCTAGGTAAAGGTAACATTCAAGAATGTTTATCTTGCATCTATGCCCTATTCAAATTGCTGGATCTGGACTGTATTGTTTCTTCTCTATTGAGTTTAATAACATGAAAGTCATTCAAACAAAAACAAAACAACAAGGAAAGGATCAGTTATTCACATTATCATGTCTGTTCTCTAGGTATTTAAATAGTTTTAAACAATAATTTAATTAATAAATTAATTTAATAAGAAGAAATTAAAACATGAAAAGTCTGGATAGTGAGCGTGGCAGTGCCTGGAGACAGCAGAATAGGAGAGAAAGATCACAGAATACAAAGGCAAATAGAAGTAGAACAGCTGTGACAAAAGAAAGCAAAGATAGTAGTATCTGCCTTGGGCACACTCTCAAAACAACTGGAGCATCACTTAAACACTATCAGCATTGACAAAATCACCAGCAATAGACAGCTTTGCTTAGGAAAGCTTTCATGCAGCAGTAATACATTTAACACCATCAAAAAACAATATATGCTTATCCCAGTCCTTGAAAAGGATTCAGTAGGTGGATAAAAATGTCAAATCCAGTCTAAATATCTGACTAAAACAACAACAACAACAACAACAACAACATTAGTTAAGTTGCTGGCCTAGAAACCAAGAGACCCAAGAAAATTTTATTCTGCTATAGGCTTGGCTGAATGGATGACTTTGGGCCAGTGACTTTCTTTCAGCCTAACTTACCTCACAGGTTATTGTTGCTGGAAAATAGAAGAGGAAAAAGTATAATGTGTAGTCACTGCCTTTAATTACTTATAAAAGTAATGAAGATGGGATAAAAATCTAATAAATAAATAAAATAAATTGAAAGCTCCAGTTTAGAAGTTTCCAATGCCTAGAAGCAGACGTTTTAAAACTAACATTTCACTTGTTTACATGCTTATCTTATCTCTCTATCAATCATTTATCTCAGTTTCTCATTTTTCATGTTGGCTACAATTCTACTTGTATGTTTTCTTATACTAAAAAGACCTGCACATTTAAGCACAAAGGGATTAGGGCATTGAAATTCAGATATAGCAGTTTCTCACCCACTTGGTACATAAAAACCTTCAATTAACTAATTTTATAGTAGTGACTCATATGGGTGAGAGAAAAGGGTCAATTCAAATTGCAACTGCTGCTCCACATAATTTAGTTGCTCTTGATTTGAGGATGACCTTTTTGATTAACTATACTGTCATAAAGGAAAGACCCTAGGAGAGACACTGACATGGTCAGCCATGAAACAGCTAGATGAAAATGGTCACAATGTTTAATTCTTGTAAGCAAATTTCTCGTTGATTTCTAAATGCAGTTGGAATTCTCAGCTCACAAGTCAAAGCTTACATAGATTGTATACAAATTACATGTTAATACAAAACTTAAAAGGAGGGGGCTGGAAATGATTATTAGTTTGGGGTGTTTACAATGTAGTCAGGGATTTCCAAACTTGGCAACTGTAAGACTTATGAAGTTCAGATCCCAGAATTCCTCAGCCGGCTATTCTGAATTCTCATAGTTGAAGTCCACAAGTCTTAAAGTTGCCAAGATTGGATACCCTGGATATAGGTGTAACACTGAGCTTGAATTATGGTAGCCAATAAGATGTCATAGGATTTTCTTGGTTGCAACATGGTAGTGGTGTGCCATTCCCATTTTCTGGGATTTTCAGGACCTTCCCTGCAATCTAATTTACAACACATAGAGTTGTAGATCTTTAAAAGAGGCTTAAATAATATTATTAGTAGTAGTACTGTGGTTAAAATATATTGAGCCAGACAATACACTGTTCACTAAGCATTTATGGATGTTAAAGAAAAAACTATAAATAAAAGGCTTTTATTTTTTTAAAAAGGCTTAAACATCCCTGAGGAATATTGTATTTGATAAACACTTCTTTGTCCTGTCCCACCCCCACAAAAAAATACACCTGAAAGTAAAAATTCCAGTCAAGCTGTTTCCTGATTGGATTTCTTGACACTTGTTTTGAATCTCATCTCCTGGGTCTGGCAATAATGCTTTATGGAGGATTTGTGATTTAGAAGTTCCAAAACGTATCAAATTGGCCTTAGAAACTTAAAATAAATACCGTTCATCTCAATAAAATTCAGGATCATCCAATTTTGATTGGGATTACTTTATCAAAGTTATTCCATTTCAGAAGATGGCTATCTTTTAAATTTAGAGTTATTCATAGAAGGAATTACATACAGAGACACCCAGTATATCTTGTAGAGTAATATCATTTTTGATCTTCAGAATTACAGTAGATTACTAAGTTAAGCGGAGAAATTGTCACATTTGAAAATACATGGCAATGCTGAAAGTGAAACTTGTCCTATACTTTGGTCTGGTAACTGTTCAATATGAAAGAATCTCCATGGCCATTTTAATGTTAACTACATTTTACAAGAGTACAACAAAATGTATTTATTTTTGCATAGATTTATGCCCTATCACAATTATTCCAGAGGGTAAAATGCATATAAGCATCCTGGAGCTTCACACCATTGAATTCAGTAGAACATACTTCTGACTAACTATCTATATATTTGCATTTTGTGCAACTCATATATCCTGTTATTTAGCTTTATCTCAGAATACACTAGTATTTTCATCTATGGAGAGTTATGTTTATAGACAATTTCAATGCAGCATTGAAGTGGGGAATTTGTCCCTGAAGTCATTGAAGCACATCTCACAGCAGTCCCGATCTTCATAGTCATTGGTGAAGATACTGCAAGTTGTGCTTAAAACCATCTGGAGGACTACAGGTTCTCTATTCCTGTCTTATTGTTTATTGGCATCAGTTTCCAGGAAATTTATGTCCCCTTTTCTGTCAAGCAAAAACCTGTTCATCTTGTAGTAGACAGCTACTTCTACCAAGTATTGTGTTATATAGCACACAAAGGATTAACTCAGACAGCAGCTTATCTCAGTCACCCATGTGCCTACTCAGCAGAATTCACTAGCTCAGCTTTCCAATTCAAAAGAAAAAAAAAATACTGTTCTGTACTTTTGATCTGCAGATCACAGACCAAAACCAGCCAAAATCAAGTGATTTGGGTCTTATCCAAAGTGCTATATGCAGAGGTTGTGGTGATAGTGAATTATTTAAAGGAAGAATTGGAAATGTAATGCTTCTTCCCAAGTAGTTGAGCCTATATTTTTCAGTATTGGCTTTTTGCAATTTTTTAATGTATCCTCCCAATAACAGTTATCGACTGTATTCTTCTCTTTCTAGATACCTCATCAAAAGTTTGACCCTGCATTATATTCTTTTAGCTATTCCATTATTATACAATGACCATAGTAAGCATGAGTTCTTGATATTGCCATTTTCATATACTGTATACAGTTGGAAATGTTGGCCACAGAGATTGACAAAGGATAAAGATCGACAAAGGACAAGCTCTTAAGCTACTTGATTTTTTTAAAACATAGGTAAACAATACAAGTCATGGTAATGTGAACAATGTAAATTGCATCAGTCATCTGAATGTCACAAATTATATAACTGGTGTTATTTGCTAGCTGGTGTTAGGGTACTTGCAATGTCACTTGCTCCTCTTGTTGGATGTATGTTCAGGGTCAATAGCAATAGCATTTAGACTTATATATTGCTTCACAGTGCTTTACAGCCCTCTCTAAGAGGTTTACAGAGTCAGCATATTGCTCACAACAACTTGGGTCCTCTATTTACTCACTTTAGAAGGATGGAAGGCTGAGTCAACCTTGAGCCTGGTGAGATTTGATCTGCCAAAGTGCTGGCAGCTGGTGATCAGCAGAGGTAGCTTGCAGTACTCTAACCACTGCGCCACTGCGGCTCTTAATATACTACATCTCAAGATCCATTGCTCTTCCAAAACTTGCTCAGTGTTAATCTCCAGGTATTTTAAGCAGCATGGACCATACGGAGAGAAATTCAGCAGCTTCTGGAGAGCATTGATTATCCAACATCAATTAGAGCAGGGGTCCACAAACTCTTCAGCTCAAGTTCATTATGAAGTTTAAAATTATTCATTAACTCCCCCCGCACCTCAAATATTTATTTTATGGGAATGATGTAATAAATACCACTATCATTATTAGCACTATGAATAATAAATATTCCTGCGACAATAGCTTTAATGCCACCATTAAACAACATCTGACCATACCAGATCCTTGAGATGGACTCAATAAGTGAATAAAAATACCAAATACAATCTAAATATCTGGCTGTCTGTGCAACAAATCATCATCATAATCATCCCTGCAAATAGAAATAGAATGATAGTGGCAAAAGAAAGCATATGTATGGCAGTAGTAATAGTGCCTTGGGTACAATCCCAAAACAACTGGAGCACCACTTGAACACCATCAGCATTGACAAAAATCACCATCAGTCAATTATAAAAGGCAGCTTTACCTGGGACAGTTTACATCCTACAATGCTATATTTAACACCATCAAACAACAACCTCTGTTTATCCCAGGACTTGATATGTGGATCAAAAATGCCAAATCCAGTCTAAACACGTGGCTGACTGCACAATAAACAACAACAACAACAACAACCTAGTGGATGTTGTAGAACCTGGAGACAGTATTTACTTACTAACAACAATTCCAGCAGTCTTATTTTCTATTGTAACCCCAGGATACTGTTGGTCATTACATGGGAAAAGACATGGGTCCCAGGCAAGCTGCATGG